AATCCCATTTGCAGTGATGTCCTTAAAAGCAGTTGCCAGTCAGTTTTTCAAGTTGAGTTCACAAACAGCATTAATAAATGAATCACATTTAATCAACAATTAATCACACGGAGCATTAATAAAGTTGACTGGTAATTTTAAGATGGAGAAAATATGACAAACAGTGATTTTAGATGAGTTGTCTCCTGTGCAGATTATTCTAGAGGGAGGATCATGTTCATGCAAGAAATGTTCAGTGTTTCAATGGCATGGTTCTGCAGTGGCTCTTGTGGTTATGAATAAACAAACCAGTTGCTGGAGCTGACTCTAGCATCAGCCAGTTGATTGAAAGTCTAGGACGAAAGCTCTACTTGCTTTGTCTTGTTTTGGTGTTGTCATACATTTATGAAATACGGTATGTCCAGAATGGTTTTTTACCTTTATTTTTAATGTCATGATCGGGACTTTATGGCTGACCTGTGGGCCTGTCTTAGGTACATTTCATTAATATACTGCATAGTAAAAATAATCTACTGTAAATACATTTAACTAAAATATGTTTTTATGATATCAAATCAGATTTTGGATGTAAACAAACAAACAAAAAACTATCCAGATTGTTTGCTTTGATTCTAGTTTGACAGTGACAACTATTTTATTGTTTGCCATATTATCTGGTGTCAGTGGTCAACAAGGTGAACCTCAAATAGCATCCTGCCTGTACTGTTTCAGGTGTAGAAGAATAAAATGAGTCATGCTATAGAACAGGGTATATCTGAATACAGCTCATATGCTAAAATGCGCACATAGTGAGAACATAATTAATTCTCAGTATGAAGCAGTGTGCATGAGCTTTTGTCTTAAAAAGCACACATTGCTGCATTTGATTCACTTTAGTGGAAAAGAAAACCATCAAATGTACACAAGTATATTTAGACTCTTGATTTGCAGATTTTCCATAGCCTAGTTATTTTAACCATAGGGAACTAAAGCCAGTTTGAATGCCCTCCCTCAATACAACAAAGCATCTCGGACTTGAAAACTACTGCTGGAAACCTTTGAGGTTGGATTGAATGAACAAAAAAAAAAAGAGAAACATGTCACCAATTTCATCTTAGAAGATTTCAGATAGAGAGTCTAACAATGAAGGTACATCAAAGGGGGGGAAAAAAAAAAAACGCAGACCCCAAAGTCTTCAAAAGGCACCGTGAGCACATACGCCGTTATTAAATAGATGAATATTGACAGGGTTTTTCCTATTTCAGGTGAACGGCATCTCCGCTATATATCTCCTTAAATTCAACAAGAGCTAAGAGATGGCAAGCAGAGCCGGGCGCTCTCGTGCATCACCTACCAGCCATTCACAGCAGTCTTAATTGACAAGCAAAACCACACAATGGCTCCCCCGCTAGCACCCCCTCTGCACACCTCCTCGCTGCTAACTTTGCCCACTGGACCGAGCTGTTGCTGAGCCAGTGAGGAGAGGTTTTGTTTGCTGAACTGCGATACGTCCTTCAGCACTTTGGCCCCATTCATCTCACCAAACAATCCCCCTAAGAATGTAACTGGTGGGCAAACACACAGTACATGGGTAATGAAGGGGGCACCTTGGCTGTCGGTGTGAATATTTACCCTGTCATCAAAGGAGGGGCATGCATATAAATCTATCCCTGCCCTTCCAAGTTCAGGTTCAGGGTTTGGAAGTGTGGGAGGCGAAGCGAGAAATACAGCCCGTGCATAGTCCTCAGATCTAACAGCCTATGGAATGGGATGGAGCTTTAAACATATGGAGTATGATAGAAAATTAGCTTGGTTTAGAACTCTGCGAGCACGCAGAGGTTGTTTAAAATGTCAGATTCATGAATAAATACATTGGAAAATAAAATGGCACCCTCCCACGTAGCAGAGCTATTTGACAGGAGATGTGTAGAAACACTGTAGTGCATCCAAAGCACACAGGACGCTATTATTTTTTTATTTTTCAAACTGTGTATCTAAAGGTTTGTGCCCTCTTCCTGCAATGAAAATGAAACAAAGTTTGGTTTTGAGTTTTGGCGGAAAGTTGTGACCTTTTCCGTTACATTCTGTTCTGTTGTTTAACACTCAATAAACCATCCCTATTCTGTTGTTCAACACCTGATAAACTCAATTCGTGAGGGGGCCAGGAAACAATTCTGATAAGGAGAGAGGCTGGAAAATAGCTGCAATCAGCCAGCAGATTGCAGTGTTTTTGCCTGTGATTTGGAAGAGTGGAAAGATTCAGTCTGGTTAGTTTTGTGACTGATATGCTGCTGGTAATATGTTCAGCCTAGGTAAACTTAGAATGGACATTTTATTGAAACTTATGGATAAAGCACCCAGGAGCTTGCATGGTCTATTGGACACAAACAGTCTTGTTCAGTTTTACTCCATGTGTGAAAAAAACTTTTCTATCAAGTTATTTAAAAAAAAAAAAATCATACTCAACTTTAAGTATATTGTTGGTGCAGGTGTGGGCTCAAAATTGCTTAGTACAGTTGGCCAAACTGTGCCAACAGAAAAGAGTTCACAAATAAAATGCAACACCATCTCATCATGCAATCTGAGCATTTAAAAGGATAGTTTGAAGTAGTGAAGTGGTGTTCTGCAGAGTTATTACCAAAAGTCAGTATCTTACCATATGACAACAATCAGTTGTACACTGCACAAATCTGGCCTTTATGGAAGAGTGGCAAGAAGAAATCCATTTCTCAAAGATATCCATAAAAAGTTTTGCTTAAAGTTTGCCACAAGCACCTGGGAGACACACCAAACATGTGGAAGAAGGTGCTCTGGTCAGATGAAACCAAAATAAAACTGTTTGGCCAAAATGCAAAACGATATGTTTGGCGTAAAACCAACACAGCTCATCACCCTGAACACACCATCCCCACTGTCAAACATGGTGGTGGCAGCATCATGGTTTGGGCCTGCTTTTTGTCAGCAGGGACAGGGAAGATGGTCAGAATTGATGGGAAGATGGATGGGGCCAATTACAGGACCATTCTGGAAGAAAACCTGTTTGAGTCTGCAAGAGACCTGAGACTGGGACGGAGATTTATCTTCCAACAAGACAATGATCCAAAACATAAAGCCAAATCTACAATGGAATGGTTCACAAATAAACATATCCAGGTGTCGGAATGGCCAAGTCAAAGTCCAGACCTGATTCCAATCGAGAATCTGTGGAAAGAGCTGAAGACTGCTGTTCACAAACGCTCTCCATCCAACCTCACTGAGCTCGAGCTGTTTTGCAAAGAAGAATGGGCAAAACTGACAGAGACAAACCCCAAGAGACTTGCAGCTGGAACTGCAGCAAAAGGCGGCGCTACAAAGTATTAACGCAAGGGGGCCGAATAATATTGCACGCCCCACTTTTCAGTTTTTTATTTGTTAAAAAAGTTTGACACATCCAATAAATTTCATTCTACTTCACAATTGTGTCCCACTTGTTGTTGAATCTTCACAAAAAATAAAAAAAATTATATCTTTATGTTTGAAGCTTGAAATGTGGCAAAAGGTTGAAAAGTTCAAGGGGGACGAATACTTTCGCAAGGCACTGTAAATCCAAACAATTTATAGTATGTGTTTGTATTTTATTTGCTATGAGCAGACTTTTCTGTGATAATCTCGAAATTCAAGAGGACACATTTATGATTTGCTGTGTGTTGTATCTGTTGAGGTGGAGGTTTTTCACTCCCATCATCCCTCAAAGCCAGCGAGCTCACAACCCTCTCATGTTAACAAAGCCCCCGTTGCACATTACTGTACATGTCAATGCAAGTGAAAACAAATAAACAATAGACTCCTGAGAACCCATCAGAATATATGAGTAGGATTACAGTTAAAAGGATGACCTTATTATAAGTAAGAAGAACGAGGGTGATGGTTTTTTTTTCTGGCATGAAGGCAGAGAAAAAGGTGATAATGGCAGGATGATATGTTTTATTTATTCATTTTTGGGATATCTAGTTATTATTCAATAGCTGAGTGTTTTGGCTTCAAATCACAGCTTGTGTCAACAAGAGGCAAATATAAATTCACATCTGCTTAGCGAGGAAAAACACAAGGCAGGGAGGATTTGTGTTAGCACTGCAAAACCGAACTCTGAGTTAAACGCATTTACTAAATGTGCCCAGAACAAACACAAAGAAATTACGACGAGATTCTGATCAAGTGTTATTAAAATCATCGTGCCGTTTACTGTGAGATGCTCTTGTGAATAAAAGCACCTTTGATTTAACGACTCGAGTGGCAAGCTCAGTTAGTCAAGCTTTATTTAATCATAATGTTAATTTCATTGTGTAATCTAAGATTATTGTCCTCATGTTCTGTGACCGCACACTTTTCTGTATTTTTATGGCCCTGATTTCTTTCCTTATGATCACTGTAGAATTATTCAGTTTTATTGTTTGTTTGCACAATAAGCTATCCATAAAACAAGAGATCAGTCTGCACAGCCAACATGTAAAATAATCCTTTATATTCTTACACAAACCAAGGGGGAGGTGGAGCAGAGGCTAGAGAAGATGGTTCTGTGATTGGAAGGCTGCTGGTTCGATTCCCCAGACTGACATAATCAAAATGTGGTTGGTAAAGGTGAAGCACCAGCCTCCACATTCACTTTTCCCCTCTCTGTGCTCTTGAGCAAGGCCCTCAACCCCCACCATCTGCTCCCCTGGACGCCTTAGCAGCTCTCTGCTCCACACAGAGGGCTGTGGTAGCTTGTGGTCTGTGGTTGAGTCAGGAAGGACATCCGGTGTAAAAACAATTGCCAAGTCTTGTGCGAGTTAGTTCGCTGTGGTGACCCCTGAAGAAGGGAGCAGCCGAAAGAAGAAGAAAAAACTGTCTTACACAAACCTGCTCTCTCTTGCTCTCTCTCTCTCTTACACACACACACACGCACACACAAACAAAGCCTTTTGTATCGTCTTCCACACCAGTACTCCTCCAGGGGCCAATACTGTGCTCCAAAGCCCTTTAGAGAGGCAGCAAGCCGGAAAATGACCCCATGCTGTCCCCGCTCGCCTCTGCCCCGCCTGGTTACGCCCGTTTCCCAGGGACCCGCTGAGGGTCCAATGCCCCCAGGCCTCCCTCTCACACCACTCTACCTCCTGGGGCCAAACGTTAACAGGGGCTCCTCACCGCGGACAATTGCTGCCGAGAGACGTGGGAAAGAAATGTCACAAGGCACTCTGACAACCAAGGTTCGACCCCCTGACCTCAAAGGCTGGTCCCACTGGGCCTCTTTATGTAAACACTGGGCTTCCAAAGAAAAGCATATTCTGTGTTAATCAGATTCATAACCCGAAGGAGAATATACAGAAAAGCTGAGGTGTGGAACACGTAGATTTCTACTAGAGGTGATTTACTCATAGAGAAGACATGTATTTATATTTGTAATATTTTCTGGATTTTTGTGTATTTGTGCAAATTGAGTCTAAACAATTTTATAAATCATTCTAATTATTTTCTTAATTAATACTCCTTAGTTGTCACATTTCAAAAATACAATTGTCTTTGATATAGTTAATACTAAGTTCAGGGCAAGACATTGAAAAGGATCCTGGTTAAGCTCCCAGACACCTTGTAAACAGTCCTGGTCATTTAACCTCTGACCTTCTGACTCCTCAGTCTGTCCATATGGAATAAGCAGGTCAAACGACGATGTGGTCAGCCATGCTACGCCTTCGGAGGGAAGGGGGGCAACACAGTGTGGACACAAGCAGGGCGGCTACTGTGTAATAGCCTGAGGGGCAATTTGTTATAGAATGAGTGTTAACAAGAGAAAGATTGGTGGCACGCGATGTTTCACTCAGCCCTGTAATCCCGAGCGTTTACTGATTTTGCATAAAGCTTGAGTTCTGAAATCATAATGTAGTTTGTTCTATCCTGTCATGCTTGAAGATGTTTTGTTTGTTTGTATAAAATAGTACAAATTATTTAAATTGACTGGAACAATTATCAGTTTGCTAAAAGAAAAATGAATAATTCATGCTAAGACTTGTGATCTTTGCAACAAATTATGCTCCATGTTGTTTCAAGTGATCAGCACCACTTGAAATCCCAATAAACTGGTTTTAGTGGTGTTTTCCATTTCATGGGTCACATCATGTCAGCGATGGGCAGTGGGGCATCTGGTCACTCTACTCACAAACAATGGTCCTAATCTGTTTTAAAAAGTCTCTTGACAGGGTCCTATTGATGACCTCGTTGGTATGAGATTATGAGTGTGGGTCAGACCTTTGTGGCCACCAGGGGTGAGAGTTCACAAACCAAACATTGTGACCTCATTCCCAGGAGACTTGTGCTGATGAACTCCCAATGCTAGCTAGTGGACATTATTAACAACTTGGGCTGGACAACTGAAGAATGAATTATCTTGTATGGGATTGTTATGACCTGAAAGGGAGAACAAGGGATGTGGATTGCAAATAATTGGGATTTTCCATCCACAATTATGAGATTATGGATGGATTAATTTCCTGACAGTGACAACATCCAACCATTTGGTCTTCTGTATTACACGTGAATAAAACTACTGACAGTGGCCTTCTTGATTTTACAGTATGGGATCAACTGTATGTTGGATTTTGATATACACTGAGGTTAGAGACAAAGAAGACCATGTTCTATTCATTTTATGTACAGTGTAGCATCGGGCAACAACGTACACAATAGTAAAAATGTTTGAAAAGTGTGTAGAAAATAGTTTTACAAATAAACAATTTTCTTAGTGGAAAATATATTAATTAACATCCTAAATGTGATATTTAGAGCAACAGACTTTGAAATGAGACATTTTTACTGCGTATGTTATTTGTAACTATTCAGCGTGAAATTAATTAACAAGCCAAAGATGCAGCATAGCCTGACTGAAAAACTCAAGGTAATATTATTATTATTATTATTATTATGGTTCATGTTTCTGTCTTCAAATTTTATTTCAAAGAGTAATGATCCATCCATCCATGTATCCATCCATCCATCCAAAATTCTTGGAAAACCAGCATGATAACTGCCCTTCTCCACCTCATTCCAGCCTCCTCTTTATTAAATATACTCACCAGCATGGCTGGGTGCAAATTCTAAACCTACACAACTTATGAGTGTTGGTGAGATGCCAAATTGTCCCATGCCTTAACCCGGTTGGTCATAAATCTGCCTGTACGTCCTGTGATCGTTTATGAGCACTTTACATGAAGATCGCTCCCACAAACAGCGCCCTTCAGCTCGTAATGAAAGCCAAGCATCAAAGTTAAAGATCAATGTCACGTCAGGAATTGCTTCCATGCATATAATCGTACATGTACAGAGGATCTTGGTGCATAACAGTGTGATACGTTTTGATTTGCTATTGGTATTTTTATAAATGTTTAGAAAAAAATAAACATACACACTTGTGTGAAATGTGTCCATGATTTTAGTTAAATGTTAAGGGATTTCTTTTTTTTATCAATATAATGGTGAAATATATGGTGAAAACCTGTTAGGATAGACTGAATCCCCAGATTGGGACATGCTTTCAGCCTGTAGCCGAGGTCAAGGGTTAAATGGCTGAGGTCAGTCAGGCTTCAACCACTGTCTAGGGACCTCTCAGATCAATGAAAGCTTGATGAACATGTGAATGGATCAAAAGGAGAACAAGTGTCAAAAGTGCTGATTGATCTGTAATAGTCGTTGCATGGAAAATCTGTGCTACGACATATTTTAGCCCAAACTACATAAATCGGTGCTTTAATATAATTTATATACCAATAATACCAAAAATGGTTAAATCATGTCATCTGGTCAGTTATAATAATATGAACGCCGGGACAGTAGATATTTTAATTTTAAATTTGTTTAAAAAGACTTACACACTAAAGATATGCAGATGGTAACCCAACCCTAACATCATCAAACAGGAAATGTAGCAGATTTGGGATTTTTTTTTCAGTCAAAGTACTTGTTAGCCTATCAGTTTATTCTGCAATGTAAACTCAAATCATAAACTTTGTCATGGCTTCTATCAGTATCAGCTTGTTTGAAAGATTTGTTCTGTTGTTGTTGTTTTTTTTTTTTTTTTTGATAATTCTGCCAGAAAGCATTCAAACCCACCGTTTTCATTTTAACAATGACCTATCCCATTCCTTTTACCTCCAACAAATCTTGGCTGTCTGGTGTCGAGCTGTTTTTTGAAATCAGGCTTAGCCCTGACTGTGCCCTGGCTGCTACAAGCTCAGATTAGCACCCCACATTCTGGCCTCAGCCACAGATGAAAACTTGTCTCCCCTTCGCCTACTTTCATCTATGGCCAACATTCCAGCCAAGCATACCCTATGGCTTCTCACCCCTGCCTTCTCTTATCCTCTTCTTCCTTCTGCCTCTGCTTTCCCTGTCATGCAGGGGAACCAAGAATGGCATGCAGGGCCAAACTTGAGACCTTGCAGGGGAAAAAAATCTGAGAGGAAAAGAGAACCGAGGGGAAGGACACCAAGGGGTGGGAATGGGGAAGAAGAAAGAAGGTGAGGAGAAAAAGAGAAATGCACATTGTACTTTTCAAATGGATGGGAAATGATTCGCTAGGATTTGCTGACAATTATACGGTGGGGTTTAATCAATTCGGACCATTCACAGCGTGGAGAGGGCTGATCCCCCAGTACAAAGGAACAGACCATGGGAGGGCGGTACCTAAGAAAGCTCCAGCCTGGTATAAGTAACATGAGGCAATACTCCCCTCCCCACACATTGCACTGCAGCATATGGCTCCTCTCTGAACTTATTAGCTGGCGGATTAAGGCCAATCGCAGAGACCCAAGGGCATGTGGCTGCCTCCGCTGCAGACTCCCTCACTCCTTTTCACCCCCAGGAATGAGGCTGACTGACAAGGGGCATTGTGTTGGGCACCTGAATTGCCACACCTCTCACTTACCCTGTCACATGGTGCAGTTTGATGAGGTTATTTGCTAGAGAGGCCAGGATCTAGCCACAAACCTTGGAACCACCAAAAACACTATAGCACACACAAAAAAAACTCTGATGCTACATCTGATCCACTCCCTTCCACAGTCTGCACGTTAATATTTCATAAGATAATTTTACATTTTTTGATTTTACCATTCTCGTAACACAAGTTACAAATTAGCCAGCTGTTCAGCTACGGAGTGGACTGAAAGCACCTGAATGTGAAGACACAGATTAGCCCTGTAGATATGATGTCTAATTACCATCTCATTGCAACTCGACATGCAAGCTCTACGTGAGTGCAGACATGCTGAGAGCAAAAGCTCCATTTGACAGAGGTTGATTATAGGTCCATTATGCACAAAGTACTTAGTGATGGGCTGAGAGTAGGAATTAAGAGCTTGATGGCTACTGTGAGGGGACCTGGGCTAGAGTACAGTGGGGTTAGCAGTCAACAGGGTCTTGGGTCTACAGGAGGCCAAGCCTGGGGGAGGCTATACATTGGTCTCTGGCCTTCCTGAGTGGTCATGGAGAGATTTGACAAGACAAGAGCCTCCTATTTAAGCCCTCATTTGATGTGGAAAGCGGCAGGTGATTCTCTGCCTCTTTTTATGTCAGACCACAGGGGTTAGATGACCTTGAGTGACTTGTCTTACCTGGCGCCCCTCAGGACACCTCATTTGGTGAGGAAGAGAGACGCCTTGGGTGTCTATCCATTGCAGAACTCCACCTGGCCACCGGGTTGCGAGGTCAGCTCCACACTGAAACAGCAGGGGTGCCAGAGACATGCTTTACTAATCCCATCACACACTGGGAAGGGATGTAGAACCCAAAGGTCAGAGACGGAGCAGAGAAGCCATCTTTGTGGTTCATTTAGACAAGATTAGAACCCCATGAATGAAGCCTCAGGCTTGGAAATCACAAAAGACTTTTAAAGGAGAGACAGCTTTTGGTTTGTTCTGTGGCTACCTCTGACTGATGACATTGCAGGTGCAGGTGTATCTTCAACCTACACTCAAGTGTGACAGTAGCTGTTTTATTGGAGATGTCAACTTGTCTAAGTATGAAATTCTTCATGTGTCAAACATTTTCTCAAGTTAAATGTCCTTTCCAAGTGAGGAATATTTGAAGTTGAAGTTTTGTAAGCCTTATGCTGAACCCCTTTTCATGTACAGTCATCATGTCTGCAGAAGGTCTGTCTTTGTTTTTGGATGTCCACTGATAAATGGTAATTTTTCCAAAAGTCAGTGTTGCAACTCTA